CAAAATGTCCTTTTTCAATCATTCGATCAGTTTCATCAATTGCTAAAAATCGAAGATTCGACATATCAATAATATGTTCATTATTCTAAAAAAAAAATAGATTAGAAAAAAAAACAAATTGAATTTCTTTAGGATATTTTTACTTCTTGTAATAATTCCCAAAATCGACCAGGTGTTGCAACAATTATTTCAGGTTTTTGTGATAATAAACGTTCTTGTTTTTGTGTTGACATACCACCAACAACGACAGCAGTCTAAATTAATTTGAAATACAATAAAAAAAAACATTAATCCTTTTTCAATGATATGTTTTTATACTTTGAATTTTGTATAACGACAGACAATTTGAATATGAGATTTGATTTGAACAGCTAATTCACGTGTTGGTGTAAGAATTAGACTTGTAAATTGTCCATAGGACGTCTAAAAAATCATTTTGTTATATTAACCTGTTGAGGATGGGAGACGTATATATATGTTTGCTTTTGAATCAACTCCTAATTGATTTGCATACACCTCTTATGAGCTGCAGTAGCACACAAAACATCAATCTATTACATTATCATACGCATTGCGAGAGTGCGGCTGAAGAGAAGATCTATACCCTCAAGGTTATCATATTCTAAAATTCTTTCAGACATATTTTTGATATCGATATGAATAAATGTATTCCACCAGCACTTCGGAAATTTCCTGTTTTCTTAAAAGTAATCCCGTTTAGAAAGCGTCACAGGACAATCGTTTTTTAGGAAGCATGATCTGCAGGACATCTAAGTTACCTCATTGATCGTGATTCAATGAAGTTCTGACATATTATTGAAATTCGTTGTGATTTTCCATTTTTATCGATAGTAATCAGAAGAGTAAATACCATACTACGTAAGTCGGTGGAAAGATTATTTAACTCATAAGAGAAATTTAAGAAAAAAAGCAATAAAAAGAAAACTTATTCCTTCGCGTTGTACATATGTTTATATTGATTACAAATTGAATCATATGTCTTTTTGTTTGTTTTATTATTGTTTTGTCCATTCTATGGATTTCAAGCATTTTTTTGTTATTGTTCATTTCATCTTTGCTGGAAAATGTATGATAGAGTCTATAAATGATTTTTGTAATTATAGATAGTACACCTATAATATTTGACATCGTACATAATATACAGGCAGATTCCTATTCTTGTCAAAAGTGCAATGAAAAGATCGTCCTACAGACCGGACGCAGGAGGATTTCTTATCCTGCCAGGATGAATTTTTCGATGCTCTGTTTTACGTCCTGCAGAATGCCGACAGGACGAAAAAATCGTCCTCTAGTCTCATATTAAGGGATTAATTCATTTGAAATCATAAGTTAAACTTACTTGATTATTTTCTAATAATTGATTCATATGAGTAAGAATTGGAATAGCAAAAGCTAATGTTTTACCACTGCCCTAATTTATGAGAAGAGAAAATATGTTTTTTTTTCAATCAAAGACAAGGAAATGAAATTACTGTTTCAGCAGCACCAATTATATCTAAACGATCACGAATAGCAGCTGGTAAAGTAAGACGTTGAATTGGAGTTGGATCAAAAAATTTTTGTTCCAATAATGAACGAATGATATTTTCCGAGACATGAAGATCCGACCAAACTTTTTTAGCAGTTTCTAGTTTTTTATTTTAATATTAAGAATATAAATAGAAAGAAAGGTTTTTCTTACCAATAGTATCGTTATTTGAAGTTGTTTCAACTTCATCTTTATTATTTTCACCAATTATTTGTAGTGTTGATGTAATATGAGTTTCATTTGAACGTTTCTTTTTCTTTTTTTTAACTTCTAAATAAATATATATATATATATTTTTTTATTAAAGATTGAATTATTTTGATAAAAATTTAAATTATATTTTACTTTTAATAGGCGTTTCAATTTCTTGTTCTGTTTCAATTGCATCAAGTTTTCGTTTTTTCTTTTTATTTTTGTTCTTCTTATTTAATTGAATATCCTCATGATCCTTAACAAAGAAAATCATAGAGATATTTTATTTTAAAGAAATTTGAGTAGACATACCTCATCATCTGTTGCGGGTATTTCACGCCAACAAATGAAACCCATACCGCGCATATTTTCATAATTAGGTGCCATGTCATGATCATCATCATCATTGTCAGACATCTGGAGAATTAAAGAAAAGAAAAAAAAATCAATTAAAGAAACAATCGTATCAATTGTTTTTTATTGTTGAATATTTTTCATTTAATATGAAAGAAGAGATTAGTACAAAAAAAAAGTTATGTAAAGAAATTTGATTGTTTATTCGTGTAATGCGATTGATTATTGTCAATTGTTAATTTCAACTAAAAATAACAAAAAAAGAAAAAAATAAATTAGTGTTCTCGAAGGATTTTATAGGTTGTAAATATATAGATATGACACATCTACTTGAGAAAAGAAGGAAAAAATTCATCTTTCTTATGAAATCGATGGAAATATGTGTAATATAATAGCTCTGTATGATAGATAAGATACGTTGATCTTTTAAATGTCAGTCAAAGAATTCCACGTTATGCTATTTCTTACATATATCTTAAAAATTTTGTCAATATCAACAGACATCTATGATAATAAATTGTTTTTATTATTCTCCGTTATAAGTACTATTTATCAGAAATGTTCGATTCTATGAACTTTAATTTTTCAAGATTAAAAATCAATCTGTACGATTTTTGAACATCTCTTTGGATGGTTACTTTCTTTCTTTCATTATTCGAGTAAATTGCATTAGTCTTGTTATTTTGTTTGGCAATCAATATCACATTGACAATAGTATTAGATAATATGAAAATTTGTGTTTGCTATTAAAATTTTCGTAAATGCTTTCAAGCAGATGTTTTTTAGATCTTTTTAAAGATATTGTAAGTAAATATTAAAATGTTGATTGTAAAGAAAACTTTGAAATATTCGAAAAATAAATTGAAATATGGATACAATATAAAGTTGATAAATAATCTTAAGTCTATTTAGAAATTTACTATATAGTTTTTCATTAGAATAATAAACATATTTGATTGAAAAAGAAAAAGTTTAATGCATATTTATCTTTTTGTTCGACTATTCCTAACATGAAATTTCAATTTATACTATCAATTAACCTCATTGATTATAGTGATAAAAATATTATACGAGCTTATGTAGATGGTACTATTTCATGTTTATACGTTAATATTTCCTCATGTATGTTGGCACATATATATTGGAAATCCCCAATGATCCGAATATTCATTTTATAAAAAATGATTCTTTCGATTATGAAAGCATTAACTAATTTACTTTAACAAGATTCAACATTATTTTTTTTTCTGATTAAACTGAATCAATCATTTCTAATTATTTGGTTGTTGAAGTAGATACAATAGTGTGTGATTATTATAAGAAAGTAGTACCTAACAATGAAAATTGTTAAATATTAAAAGGAAAAACTCGAGCAAATGACTTTAATAAAATTTTCTTATCTAAACATTTTCCTAGATCACTTAAGAAAAATGATTATATGGCAAAATTTGCCAAAACAAAAAACCTTTAGTCTTACTTTCAAAAAGCTCCATACTAATATAGCTCGATATTTTTATAACATACCTTTTTGTGTAGTTGTTGTTCTCAGCAGCTAAATTATTTCACTGATACTTAATCTAAAGAAAAGAATACACAATATAAAAAAGAATACACAACAGGGTTTTATTAACTATGTTATTCAAGAAGAATATGTTTTCAGAAATAAGTAATAGTATTGAATTCAGGTTAGTAAAACCAACTACTATATTAGTGTATTCCCATCTCATACGTTTATTCGCACAACCACTGGTATAACATCAATAGATTGTCGGTCAGACAATGGCCAACCATCCAAGTACCAAACTACTGCCGGTTAACCGTTGAAGCCACCATGGTTGAGTGGCTACATTGTTCGACACATATCCACTAGGTAGTGTGTGTGTGCAAACCTTAGTATCATGAGCCATGAAATGACTCGGGACAAGCCACTAACCGCTATTGTTTCGAATCATCCGTCGAATAGCATACTCGCTATGTTGTGACATACACCTGCTCTTGTGATTAGTTAGTGATCAGGCTGGCCTCCTGTCCAGAGTTACGGCTAGACATAGTTGTAGAGAAAATATCGAGCTATTGAATCTGTCATTAGGAAGCATCGCATATTGCAAGGTAGCTCAAAGACAAGGGTATTCTTGTTCTTTCTAACTGCCTGTATAGCACACATTATACCGAATGATCTACCGATGGTTCTTATCCAGTTCGAATCACATGGGTTTCTATATAGTTTACAATAGAATGTTAAACTCTCTGAAGTAGGCTTATCATATTTAGATTAAAATTAAAAGATACTTGATCTCACCAGTTATAGATTTATCTTCGAATGATTTAAACTTCTTCAATATTCTCATTAATGTAACGTAGGCTGATCTGATTAATTTTCATCAGGATTTTCGACAAACATGATATCGATATTTCATTTTCATCATGAAATTTCTATTGTTCATGTTTTCTTAATTGATTACCGCAGTAAGTCAAGATGATTGTAAATTAATTTCTACAGAAAACAAAATTAATGAGTGTAAACAAATATGTTTTGTTGGTCTTCAAATGATAATGATATTATAAACAAAAAAGAATGCAAGAAATTTATGCTCTATGTTTAATGTTGTGAAAGAATTTTTTTGTTTTATACATAATAACAAATTATAGAATTTTGAAGAAATAAATAAATGAATGAATAAGAACGAAAAATGTAAAGAAGAAAAAAAAAAAGAAAACGAAGCACATCGTTTCGAAAATGAGATTTCGAAGAAAGAAACAGATCAAGATGATAGTACAGACAATCAGTTAGGCATACACACACACACACATATACTAATAGAAAATATATTTATTAGTCAAAGACATACGAATAAAACCGGAGAAAAACTACAGTTTATATGTTGTTATTTCATCTGTTTTTGTTTTATCGAATTGAAGATGGTGGTGTTAAAAGTGGAAAATATTGATGCAATGTATCTTTAATTGCATTACAAATTTGTGGAGATGGTGATGTTGTACATTCAACAAGACACGGATATAATGCAATTAATTGATGCCATATATTGATTTCAACTAAAACATAGAAATGAATTTATTTTTAATTTTTTGAATATAGAAACTTATACCTGAATCTTTTGGAGCTCGTTTTAATGCACCAATTAACGTGCTTAATGCTTTAAGTACTGAAATCATTTCAGCTGTGCGTGGCCTAAAAAAAATATTATTCATAATTAATACGAAATCGATACTATAAACAGCAATACATTCAAAATAAGATGAACTCACACACTTCAATCTTCTATCGAACAATGCAACTAAACACCTGATTGGAGCATTATTAAAGGCTAATTCAAATAGCATATTTATCTCGATTCTATATTCTGCTACTAGTTTTTAGCATGCATTAATGCCCATTCAATGTTTGGTTGTTTTTTTTAGTATTCTAAGCTCTAAAAAAATTATTAATTACAGTAAATATTTTATTCTTATATTTTGTTTATAATAGCATAGAAATTTTTCTAGAGAATTCTAAATGAAATTTTGTGTGCATATTAGCATGCATTTATAGTGCTATAAAGTCGTATTTAGCTTGGCTTTTTTTTTTTATAAAAGCTTTTTAAATATTTTTAAGGGAGAAACAGACTTACGAAAAAGGAGTTAAGCTGTTGTGATTGTAATTGTATGCTCCAGCAACTGGTTCAAGATTATCACTACTGCAAAAAAGTCAACATTTCAAGCCTCACTCAATAATTTGTATGTTTACTAATTAACTTATCGAAGAAAAACAAAAGATCTTCTCTTTTAAATTTAAGAAAAAGAAAACCCTAAAGAAGTTTTCATACCGTGGTAATGGACATTTGCCATGTAGACGTTCATCATGTGCATATTTTTGTAAAATTTCTTTACAACGATTTAACATTGAACTAAGTGCAAGACGAGTTATAACAATATTATCATTTGATGATGATGAATCGTTTATGAATGAATATTTGAGTAATGTTTCAAAACATATTTTAGAAAATTCTTCACGTAATCGACGAGCAGAATCAATATCTAATATAAATAATAGAAAGAACAAAATCACTGTTATAATAAAACTAAGATAAAAGAATAAAAATGCCTTATTTCTGCTTTCGCTTTAAGTGAAAATTAAAAAGATAGAATAAAAACATTAGTCTGATATTTTTTCATAGAAATATATACCCTTATATACATAATTTGTTCGGATATATAGTTTTTCTTTTGTCAATTAAGAACATTTTTAGTGAGTAATAATATCCGTCGTGATTTTTATAATTCAACTAGATCTAATAGGAGATCATCTCTAATGATAATAAATTCTTTTGCACTAATACCATGTTTCCTGGAATTACATTCTTCTTGCTAAAAGCTCAGTTCACTCATAGTAAACTCGTTTTTAATTGCTAAGAACTTATTTTGTGAAATACAACCTAAAAGGAGAATTGAAGTGTTGGGGTAAAAATTTGGACCTCTCCTGACAGACATAACTATGGGAACGTCACAGACCATATATTAATTATCTTTCATTATAATACACGGTATTCCAAGGTCTGAACGAAAAAAAACCAGTGAATAGCTCCTGAGCAATTCAAAGCATTTAAATATTCTTTTTACAGTTGGATCACATATTTATTAAATTCTTCAGATCAAATGTCTGTGTCTACAGAAGTTAATGATACTTATAAAAAAAATGAGTCAGAATCAAGTATTTAATCTATTACACGAGCTTGCTCATTACTACAAACAACAACACTACCGAATTATGACGAAACATCTCTTATCAAAGTAACACAAGATACAATTTTTTCAACAGTTCTACGAAGAAGAGTTACATAGACCGAACACTTTATCCTGGCTAGAGTCCGTTGGGTCCAAAGTTTTCGAATTCGAACCCACTCTGGGATCAATTAGATGGACTCTGATCCTGACTCATTTTTACAAGCATTATTAACTTGATCGACTTTTTCGTCAGTAATTATTTTACGACCTTCCAGAATGTCATCGATCTTTGACAGTACTAGTTGCACAAAATCACTGAAATATGTTGCTAATGCAATGCTTAGTTAGCATGTTTCTCTCAAATTCAATTTGTAGTTCCCGTTTTACAATGTTGGCTTCGTCAAATTCGATCATTAGTAAAACTATTCTAATTCTGACTTCTGAGGAGTTATTCACAGTTTTTTTTTTCGTTTAGACTTTTGGAACAACCTGTATATGATCTACTTCCTTTTTGCATTTCTGTAGGATTAAGTAAAAAGATAGTGAAGGAATGTGTCCCAAAATAGATAGAAAAAAAAACCGATCTCCCTGTGATCAATAACAACAGCTATATCATGTTTCATATTTTAATCTAACAAAGATTACACTAAAAGTTTTACGCAGTTTATTTTTTTAATAGCCTTTGATATATCTATTAGATCTTATTTCAAATTTCATAAATTCATACCGATAAAATTATCTGTTGTACATGAATAAATTGAACCCCGATTAAGTATATTTAATATTTTTGTTATAAATGTTTCTGGAAGTACATTAGCATATGGTAAAATATCATCTCGAATTAGTTCAATTGCCTTTTAAAATAATAAGACAAAAAAAAGAAATATATATATCTATAACAATATTATTATTTAAGATAAGACATACTTGACAATCAATTGCTTCATCTCGTTGAAGTTCTTCAATTGGTATATCCGTTGGTGGCACACTAAAATCTCGTAAATGAGAATTTTTTTCGATAGAAAAAAAATCAATAAAATACCTTTTTGAAAAAAGAAAATCATCGAATGTTTTAGCTAATTCTGTCCACATACTTTCAAATGCATTTCCTAAAAATTAATAATTAATGAACAAGAAAAATTTCGACAACAACAAAATTTTTACGATGTTTTCTTGCTACAACAAGTCCAACTTTAAGTACACGAAAAAAACATTCAATTGCTAATTTCCAAGTTGTTGAACTCGGACAATTATATTTCATTGATAATGGAACTTGTAATGTCTATCAGAAAGAATAAGAAAGAAAAAATTAAAATTAAATGAAAATTTAAATAAAAATTTGTTACTTGAATAATTGTTTGTAATGTTCCATTTTCAATTACTGCTGGATTATCAGCAACATCTTCATAAAAGCTAATAGTCATTCGAAGAATTTTTTCACTAAATGGTACAAAATTAACATTTGAATCATTTTTTCCATTTGATTGTTGTTTATTTATTGGAATTTTTTTAATTTGTTCTGTACAATCAAATACAGGTGGATTTATAGCAAAAAGAACAAGAATAAGTAAACGTTTAAAACAAATAGGTAAAAGTGCTGATGCATTTGATGATTTAGTTAATTCTAATTTTAAATTTTTACAAACAAATTCCATTGCTTTATATGCTGATTCTTGTAATAATGTTAAATTAACATCAGTTGGAATTAAAAATAAAGCCATATCGGAATGTATTGGTACAGCAAGAACACGTTCAATTATTGTTGAAAATTGTTCAAAATGTTTTGCATTATGAATAAAATCACTTGACCATATATGATTTATTAAATTTGGAAATATATCAATAAAAAATGTAAGAAAATTTTGTGATGGTATATTTGAATCATAACGATCAATTATTATTATACGTTCAGGTGGACAACGACTACAACCATTACCTATATTTAACCAAACTTGCCAAGCTTGTTGCCATAATTGTTGATCACGAGGTGTTGAAGATTTTTTTGATGATGGAGATAATGAAGGACTTAATGGTACATTAACAAGATCATTGAAACTTTTTAATGCAGCAAGAGCAATTTCAGGATTTTTTGCTAAGGCAGATTTTTCAATATTTGTTAAGAGAACACTCCAAACTTTAGGAAAATCGTCTAAAACGAAAAAATATTCAATAGACTGTTTACATATTTTGTTTTATCAATAGTTCAATTATGACGAAAGATTAGCCTCATATTACAACTGTAAAATATATTATTTATGAAAAAGAAAAAGTCTTATATGTGATGGAACTGATTTTGTCTATTGTCACATTTGCGTTCTTGCCTAGAACTCATCGGGTTGATCCGGGATTCATATAGAATCTGGTCAGGTATAGACTGGGTTCGAATCTGAAATTTTTCTGTTAATCGGGTCCAGATTCGAATTATTAGTTATATGAAATTTGAAATCAGAGAGTAATGTATTTCTTAAAAATATGGGATAAACAAAGTTAAATAGTAAATCTTCAGTCATCCTTGTATCAATTAGTAAAAGATTACAAATATAAACAAAACTGTTTAAATAAGAGATATTAAATTACAATAGTGAAAGAATAATTGAGATTTTATTATTAAAAAGTTTTGTATCAATTCCTATGTTGATTAGAAGTTAGTCATTTCGACTAGAAGCTCAATAATTTTCCTACGAGTTCTAAGTTTCGAGTATAGTTATTAATTATAAAACATACATATATAATTCTGAACAAAAATAATGATTGAACACAAATTTCTTTTCTTTTTAATTAATATCCAGAAAACATTACTAAGATAGACTGGTATACTATCGGACAAATGATTTAAATTAGTTTTTAGTTTAATTACATGAAAGTTGATTAAGTTTCAAATATTTTGTCTTCTAACTAATCATATAAAAATATTGACTTATCACATTTATGTTCAATAAACAATATTTACCTAATTTAGCTAGAAAATCTTTTTTCACTTGAACTGTTCTTGTAACACCTGCTAATATCATAACATATGTTTCAGCCCATTGTTTTTCTGGTGTATCTCTCGAATGATGCATTAATATATCTTGTCCACCCGATGATTTTGATAATTGTTGTTGTTGTAATTGTTCTCGTTCTTTTGATGCCGTATAAAAAAATTGTTCAACTTGTTCAAATAATGGAAATAAAACTTGCCAAATTAAAATACTCCATGCACCTGTACTTAATAATTGTCCATGTGATGTTATCATTGTAAATAATGTTGATGATGCTGATTTTCTTATAGCTGGACGTTGATCCATAGTTAATTCACTTAATTTTCTATATAAAATCATCCATAATTCTTCAATTGATGTTAATGTATCATATATTTCATTTGGATCTAAATAATCATTAACATTTTTTAATTGATGTTCTTGTTCTTTCATACGAAATAAATAATCAGTCATATTCCATAAAAGACCAATAGCTGATAAAGCTATATTTAAATCTTGTTCTTGAAAACCAAATTTTGCTACTACTTTTATTAATATACCTAAATAACATATTGGTATTGTTGATAAAAAATCTGTTACAACTAATTGTAAACATTGTTGAGCTTGTCGTATTAAAGAATCATTATGTTCACGTGTTATTGAACCAATTATATTCAATCTTAAATAAATAAATAAAACAGAAAAAAGTTGTTCTTTTTTTTGTTTTTAATTTTATTTTTAATCAACTTACATAATTGGCCATCCTGTTTGTAATGTAGGTCCATTATTAGTTAATATTGATAAGGTAGCTTCAAGTTGTTTTTGACGTACATCAAAATATTGAATTAATGATAATTCATGTAAGGATAAAATAATCATATGTAATAAACGTTCATTATCAAATAAATTTTGTTCATATTTAAATTCAAGTGCATTACGTACAAGTAATGTTAATGCTTCTGTACCCCATTCACGCATACGTGGATTTGTATGTTGACAAACCTTTAATAAAAAAAAAGAAAAAGAAATTGAACAATATAAACGAACAAGAATTATTTATTATTTTTTTTTCCTTTTTTCATACATCAAGTAAATGTGATGAAATAGGTTTCCACCAAACATCAATACGATTTAAATTTGCTCTACCAGTTTCAAGTATTTTTGCAATAGCAAATAATGATGGTTCACGAACAGATAAAGCAACTTCCATTGATTCAATACTTAAACGTATAAGTGCATCTATTAAATGATGTAATGCAACATCATCTAAATAAACACTTGATTCAAATAAACGTGAAAGCATTGATGATAATATTGGTAAATCAGCCATAGCTGCTGTTGTTACAACAGCTGATGAATTTGCCATTGGTGCTGCATCTGTATTAGATATTGTTCCAACATGTTTAAGTGTACCACCAGTTGATGGTTTAAATCCAATTATCCAAACAAGATGTTGAAGAGTTGTTAAAATTAAATGCCAAGATGTACCAAGTATACTTCCATAACAATGAGCAACTGATAGAAGTGTTCGCATACAATGAATATTTTTTGATGTTAACTAAAATTAATTTTATTAATATCAAATATAATGAATGTGAAAGTTATTGTAGGCAAAGTTTATTCTCGACTTGAAGCAAGAAGAAACAAACTGATCTATTTGATTCCTGTGATTTCTATTATTGGAAAAATAGTTTTCGTCTATTAATTACGAATCAAATAGAAATCATCGGAAATGCTTAGAAGTGAAAGAAATTCAGCAAAACTAATTACAAATCAAGTGCAATCACTAGAAATATTGAAAGTTATGGAAAATCAAAAATATCTCCAAAATCTGATTTGAGATGTCGGAAGTTTTCAAAAATTAGATATCTATTTTTGTGTCGCGGTGGTGACTGGCATCTTCAGCAACTATTTTGGGCAACAGCGGCTCAATAGATCAACTTACACCTCTACTCTCGAGATTTTTTTTTTTAAACAAGAAAAACTTTATATCGATTTGATATTAATCAAAAACTATTTCTCTATGCATACCATAACAGCCGTTTGATTTGTTGCTGGTGATGAATTCAATAATGGTAAAGGTGTTCCAACAATTACAACTTGTTGTCTTTCAAAATCACTTCCTGATGTTGCATCTGCATTTGATCTACCTGTTAATTTCTGTAATAAACTTTGTTGTTGCTGTTGTTGTTCACTATTTTGTTGTTTACTTAATAGATGAATATTATATTGTGGTGGTAATGCCATTTTACATAAACATGTAACAAATGCATCACGTTGAACATTCATTCCAAGTAATCCACATAATGATATATATGTTTGAAATCCTCGTAATAGTAATTCACATGTTGTATCATCATAACAAACATCATATAATAATGTATATGTAACAAGTACACTTGACCATGTACAATTAACAACTTCAATACATTCATGTCGTTCAGTTTCTGTTAAAGATTCTAATGGTCGAATTTGTATTGGGGTACGTAATTGTGTGCCAGCTATTGTATCACCACGCATACCTGTACCTTCAATAATTAACTGAACAGCTCGAACAAGTTCAAGCATACATGCATAAGCAACAACTATTCCATATGAATCCGGAATAAGTGGACAATCAAATTTTTCCCAATTTTCAACATAAACAGCTTTTGCTTGACCTTGAGTATATGTTACATATTGTGGAACAACTAAATTTCGATATGCAAAAAGAATTGTATGCGATGTACCACCAGCACCATTGGAAATATTTGATGAATGAGGATTAAAATTATCTAACTTTGAAGTTGTACTAGCTCCAGAAGCTAAAAAAGAAATAGACGAATTGAATCTTAAATGAATTTTATTTTTTTTTTTTATTAAATAGAATATTACATTTTTTATCTGAAATAACTGAAGTAGTTGTATTTGTTTGTCCACTACTAGTTGATGAATTTGATGAAACAGTTGCACTATTAAAAAATGATTGAACATATGAACTAAAAAAGATGCAACAAAAGAAAAACATCATTTGAATTTTTTCTTTTAATGAATTAATCAAACCTAATTGCATTTGTTAAATCTCTTAAAATTTTACTTGAATGCGGTTGCATATCATAAGATAAGCAAAATAATTTTATTAAATTTTGATGTATTATTATTTTATGTATACATTCAATAGCTAATGATCTTTGCCATATAGGTTTATCGGGTTCAAGTAATTTAATTAATAATGATAAAAATATTTCACATTCCGTTATTAATAATGTAAAATAAAATCGTATTAATATACAAACAACACGTAAAAGACGAGCTATTAGTGGAAAATATGCACTATCATATGTTGTATTAGAATTAGTTCCACTTGATGAATTCGGATTAGAATTTGAGAATTTTGTACCTGGCGAAAATAATTTAATGACAAGTGGAGAAACTCTTTCTTTTAATAAATAACGAAATTCACTATGAGAATGAAATATAGGTGCATAATGTGTTAAAATTGTTTCAAGTAATTCAAGAATTAATGTTCGAGTTATTTCTGTTAAACCAATTAACCATATTGGTTGATCACCATTTATTAAATAACAAAGGTCTTGAAATAATAGATAGGCATCACGAGCATAAGGACGTAATGTATCAACACTATTTGATGATGAATGTTGTTGTTTTGAAGGATCAGAATCTTGATTAGACTGATCTAAATAAATGAAGTAAAATTATATTAGTTAGCTTTTGATTTTATACGTGACTCAGTGTTCGAATAGATTGATTTCAAGAGACCTTACGTCTCGTTTCTGAAGAACAACTTATCAAAAATATTTGAAAATTTCAGAGTGGATAGATCTCGATGAGTAAAATAAAAGTTATCGTATACTCCAAATACTGCCTTCTAGAAAATATCTAGCTTTCGAAGGCTAGAAAATCGTCCCACTTTCTCAGCCGCAATTTTTTTCACAGATACAAGACAATATCTGGGACGTCTACGTTTTTTTTGGTTTCTTTTTATTTCCTTTCATTCGACAAAAAAAAATCAAAATATTGAGCGTACCTCGAAAACTACATGTCTTTTTTTTACTAGAGCATTTCTGTAAAATCTGCCAAAAATCATCGACGCAATACTTTTCGGCACAAAAGAAAGTGTCAACTCGATCAAGCGTACTATGCCAAATGAACGAGGACGATTTTGCACTTTTTTCTTCAAATACAATGGTCGAAAATTGGCCGTGTTCAGTAGTGTTAGAGGTCCGTGACCCGTACTCTCAGCACCTTTGGAATGTAAAATAACCATTGTCATTAGGAAAATTTTGCATACAAAGAATAATCACAGCGTGAGTTTTTTTTTGTTAGGAATTTCGAGAGTTAGGTTTAATAGAAGTGCTATCTAATAACGAAGAGTCCTAATTTATATGACACATGAAAGAAGATATTTCGAATCTATATTTCCGATGAAAAACAAAAAAATCGAAAAAACTCTGATTTTAACATCGGGAAAGGGGAGCTTTAATCTCAACTGTTAAATAATTGAGTTTCAAAAAAATCAACGGAATAGAAACTTTAAATAACGAAATATTTTTGAACGCAAATGAGCTGTTGTATAATCTATAGGAAAAAATATATTAGTGAATACGAATTTTCATCATAAAAAAATATAATGGATAAATTTAGACGAGTATTAATATTGTTCATAAATGCAAGGACTACTAAAAAATAAAAACAGTTCTAATAATACTGAAAATATAAGTAATTTGTCGTTTTTTTCATCTAGAATGATTTTATTACTTCAAAAAACAGACATTTTTTTTCTATGAATCAACTAGATTATCTTATTAGTAAATATTTCTTACCACCGGATGTTGTATTTTGAGCATCTTCTTCAATAACACGATCATAAACAGCTGTAACAAGTTGTCGAACAGCAGCTATAGAAGTATTTACAATTGTTGGATCTTTACTGAAGCATAATCGAAAAGTAATAACGAATAACTATGTAAATGAATGAATTCAAATAAATATTAATTCATATTCATTTATTTTATTTTACCGTAGCAAGTGTACTATGAACAACTACAGACGTTGTATTAACGAGTAATAAAACAGTTTGTAAAATTTTCAATTCTTCAGTTTGTAATTCACATAAAGTACTTAAAACATTAACAATCGTCGCTGCAGATGCCTAAATCAACAATCAATAAAATAAATTGAAAAACCTTTTTTTTTTTATTCGAACTTGATTAACAATATGATGTTGAAGTAATTTTTGTATTGATGTTAAACATAATTGAACAATTTTAACTTGTTTAGTATCACATCCTAAGATAAATGGTTGAAGTAAATCGACACTTGCATCACGCATTACTATAATATATATGTGTGTATTTCTAAATTTTATATTATTCTTAACATTTAAATAATACCTGTACTCAAATTATCTTTCATAGTACTATATTCTCGTAATTTCATATTACATGCTTCCGCTGCCTAAAATATATATTATTATTAATTAAAATAAATAATAAGAATACTCATACTTCTTTAATTGGTGGATATTTTTTTTTCGTTTCATTTGATAATTGTCGAAGATCGCTAGACAAGTTATTAATCAATTTTTGAAGAATACTATGGCTATCACTTGATGTGCTAGCCATGATTAACACTCTAGAATTGATGACAAATAAATATTAAAGTTTCATGCGTAGCTGGAGACAAGTTTAAAGAATTTTCTTAGTTAAAAGTCATTATCCATGTTTTACACTCTGGGCCACATCACTCGTTCCATCATCTAAAGTGATTCAATTGAATAAGGATTGGATGGTATATATCTGTCGGCTGTCAGCAGATGGAGAGAGTTACCAATGAGACTTTAATATATTATGGTTACAAAGTCGCCTGATTTCTTTGAGTGAAAGTTAAATTTTTTTTTCTCTAATTAAATATCTTTCTAGTTCACCGCTGATTTAGTGAATCGTCTCAAATTAATGATAAAAATTTGTTTTTTGCGTATTATTCTTCTATCTATTATTTCTGTAGCAGCTAGCAATTTTTAAATAACAGTAAAAATATGAATGGAAAGAACATCCTTTAAAACTATAACGTAATGTTATGAGCATCTTTCCATTGGAGTATATTGCTTGACTAGTTTTCACTCAATTGTTTACTGCTCATAATTCTTTATACTTTAATAAACGATGAATCTTGACTTTTATTCTAAACTACAATCAGAAAGAAACGATGAAAATATTATACGATAGAAATCAAATTATTTATTGATTTATATAAAACATTCAATATTTGAAATTACAGTCGAACAATGCAATTATATAAACAATAGAAGATGTTCAACTCGTTTCGTATCTCTGGCAGATTGTGGTTACAAATGACGCTATATAAACCATTTGAACAGTCGATTTGGAAAAGGTATCATTGTATGATAATTTTTAAGATTGATTATCTAGAAATCCTATGAATATTTATTATTATTTTACACATATTTTAGTCTTTCTTGATTCAATGTCAATCACAACAAAGAATGTTTTATAAGAATATATTTTTCTTAGAAGAAATGATTTATTATTTGTGACCGTTTCTACATTTTTTGAAAACTCCAATACGGACTATACTTAAATGACAGAGCGATGATGTATTAATCTGATTTGGCTCATAGAACTTTTTCATACTCAACCTAGCATAATCATAAAAAGGATGAAAAGGTTTTAATTGGCGGCTATGTTAATGTCATAGCTGAAGTAATTACATTTTAGAAATGCCTCGCACATGAATTAATCCTCAGAAGTATACCAAATTAGCTCTTGAGATTAATGATACATACATACATGTGACACAACACTCTTCTGCAGATTAGTGTGGAGCAAGTGGAACCTACTTCCAAATGCAATCGATGGTCTAGATTTTGTCCTAGACTATCATTGGAGAGTTAACTGCTCAATGTATTATTTTGAAGAACTTCAGAATTTCGAATGGTTGTATTGGGATTCTATAGTGATGATATTATAGCCATTCAGTTCAATTTTCTATATGTCAGTTGAAGAGAGTTAATTTTTACTATAGGTTACTGAATAGCTCTTTTGACAGCCTACAAGATTTTATGGTTTTTAGAACAAATAAAACAAGACGGTTGACTCAAGAAGTGTAGGACCACACAGTAAAAATTGTGTCAATTTTATATGTTATACAACGTGCTTAATTAGCCTTTTTTTTGGTAAGTCTGCTTCAGTTAAAAGTCGTTAGGTAGTCCTTTCGATACGCCTATAAAATTCTATTATTCACATTATCAAAAACATGGAATTATTATAATGAAAGAGGCACGTATTGTTTTATAGATCATTGAGAAGAATGATAGCATTTTTTTGTTCTCATTTGTGGAATGCTTTGTGAAGATCGGATAGGTGAAGGTGCTAATGGATATGCAATCGTCGAGTCATCTCTATTGCGAATGTGTGTAGCGAATAAAAAGGACAGTCAAATGGAAATAGACGATTGTTTCTCAAAACCTTGTCGTAAGAAGTACGATCCGTAGTGCCAGTTGATAATCGCTAATATCGATCAATTAGCTTAGTCATCAGACAACTATTCGAATTGTCAAGACGATGAATTAGCAGTAAGAGTCTTTTATTAATTTATACAGATTTTCTGTTATCTTGGCAGCAAATGAAAATGGATACTGCTATAAATAAATCTAGTTATAGTCGAAGAGGAGAACGAATCAGAGGAAGAAGATAATAAAAATTAAATCAAGGTGGAAGTATCGATGTGGATCAGGAACGTGTCATTGTCACTCATGTCCACATCATCACATCGATGTGAAGCTACCATGAACACCAATAGAATTCAAGGTACATATATTAAATGAAAATTCGATCTACACTTTACCTCTAATAGTCAACTGTTTACTGTACAAGCATTGAAACATAGTGTCATCTATTGCGAAAACCACTTAAATGATGAATAGCTCTAAGGGTGTGAGTGTGAAGTATCGATGTTATTGTAGAGAAGGCCATATACCACATCCTGACTCTATGGTCTTTTTAATTTCAAACTGAATTTTGGAGAAAAAAGACGCTCACTTTCGTGAAACGCTGGAGGTCTAGGGGGGCTAAAAAACCACGTCTGTATTGACGAAGGCTTAGCCAGGCTGATGTATTATACAAAGAATATACCACAAACATCCCATCCATCCTAAGTCAACGATATGCTTATTTCTCTAAGAGCGTGCTTCGAATGACTCATTACTACACATGTATAAACACGCTTCGCACCTTCTGTTTTCTCGATGGTGCACTCACTAGGTTATCAAAATTATTCATTCACTCACATATGTATATACCTCATCTTTTCTGGGAAGGTCAGACTAGAGGGCTTGGGAGACTTATGACCTATTTACCACCATTTGAAGGGGGTATATACATACGCGTATGTATATAGAGTTCATAAGTCCCCCTAGTTCTGTATTTCTATATGAAATCAAGTGTCTTCTTTTTACTCTAAATTCAGATTGAAATCCAATAGACCATTGCAATGGACAAGAACGCTACAATACTGTAAGATCAACGACCACTATTAAACGCATTCTTATGCGCTCTTACATTTCGCACGCGTTTACTTTGCGTGCATCTCAATCTGGGATGTTGTAAATAAAAGACCTAAACAATATAAACTAAATACCAGTTGAAGATGTTGTGTTGGTCACAATGAGTTCGATCGATTCTTCAGAAGCACTTGCAATGCAGAGAGATATCAGTCAAATGGAAGTTTAAATTGAAAACTTTATTTTTCTCCACTTTATATTGCTGGCAATGACCAATAAACTTACATAAAAATCAAAATAACTTAAAATATTGAAACAATAAAATTTATTCTTTCAAAAACTCAGTAACCTACTCTACGTTGATCATTATTGCGAGCGCATTTAAGTAAAAAATAACAGTTAGTATCCATAGTACTTTGAAGAATAACATCGCAGATCACTTTGGCGATACGCATCACGTTTAACTTATTTCTGATTCCCATATGTCAATTAGACTTGTAGTTATTTTTTCAACGTCAACTGTAGATTTCAAATTTGTTATTCATTTTAATCTCCGTTCAATCAAATAATTTGCATATGATTTATGATGATGGAACTACGAATAAATATCGTGCTGACATAATTAGCAAAGTGGACTGTAGTTACATTTAAGGTTTCAGCACAATTCAGAAACACTAAAACTAAAATGCAGTTAAAGCTAATAGATATTCTAAAACAATTAAGAAATTGACGATGAACCAAGCAAAAATCGCAGAGATGTAGCACAAAATATATCGAGAACAAAATAAAAATCAGTAACATACATCTCAATTCGATAGAACACTTGAGTCAGTAATCAGCATTAAAGAAAAATAGACAGCCTATATATATTTATAACACATCTCATTCTTCGAAACTAATCAATGTTATGTTACAGCTACAATTACTTCTTAATAAAGTTATGTATCACCAAATGTAGAGTTCAACAAAAAATAATTCAATTAAATAATAATTGTCCTTTTTTCTTTTCATATCGTTTCCCTGCAAAGTATAATAGATGTGAATGATAGTGCATTTGATGTTGAATCGAATGACGTACCATACATACTCAGGTAAACATATGCAGACATAAGAATACTGATATAATGAGTACTATCGTGGTACTAATATAAACAATAATGTTTTAAAAAAAAATTTCTTTCTTGAGAACTTCGGATGCGAAAAGTCAACTTGCGTAATCGATACCTTACTAGATTCTGGATCGACTAATGGTCATATAAAGTGGAAATAAACTGTTGAGGACAGACAAAAGATCGCCCACGTTACTATTTAATATCCAAAGGTTTGGATAAATCCTCTTCGCTTTCACCAGTTAGATTGTCTACTGATAGAGATTCATGTATTCAATAATATCTTAGACTACTTTGCATTGATTAATATCTTTAAAAATTATTTCTTGATGGAAATTACACTTGTTCAATTGTTAGAATAAGAGCTTGCGTTAAATGAGCTCTCTACTGTCTTTTCTCAATCGGTTCCAACTACAACTAATAGAATGATTCCCAATGTTGTAGCATTATGTTATGTTGTTGTAGTAGCTTCACATCGATTACTCTCACACCCACATCTACACTCATCTTCCTTTTGTTGCAATAATAATCTTTAACAATATTAACAAAAATATAAATCGAAAACGAGCAAGTGTAAGTCGTTTGTTTCATGTAATTCAAGATAAATTGTATCTTTTTCTGCTTGATTAATTCAAAAACTTCTCCCTATAACGATCATACGCTCATATGATTATACTTAGTGCCTCCAAAAATTATAAAACAATCGCTTGTTCAAAATTAGTCTTAGTTTGATGAAGCCGAAGACAAATGCTCCCATAATGTCTTCAGTAGAATTTCAGCTTGTTGAAATGACGTGATTGACTGGTTTTCAGGAATTATTGAAGGTCGATCCAGAGGCACTAAGATAATGTCCTCGTGCCATTTGGCATCTGGTTCGCTTGCTTTGTGTTCTTCAACTTTTCTGCGAAAAGTCATAGCTTGCTCCAATGGATTGAATGTCCCAAAATTGAAATGAGAAAGGATATTCTGATATTGATTTTGCAAACCATACAAAGCCGCCGGTATCTCCATTGGAAAATAGATAATCTGAATGAACAAGAGGATCATGATAAATGTTCAATTAAGCTCTTTCTCTCTATCTGTTAATCACCTTTTCATGAGTTAGATTCGTGAGTTTGTAGATAACTAGAGGACTGTATGATCGTTGAAAGACACCACCAATGGTCATTGATAAGTTTGGACTGATGAAATTTGTATTTCTGCAAAGTGAATGTTTTTTTTTTGAAGACGGATCGGAAAGAAAAATCAACTCACGCCGACTTCCAGCAAGTTAAGCTAAACCCCATTGATTTTTGCTCGCTTTCATTCAATGATAGACCGTAAGAGAGAAGTTGAGAAGAATTTTCGATGGTCCATGGAATGACAAACACCCATTTACTGATGAAAATTGCTTTGTTTTGTTCAGAATCGAGAAGATTCTCTATGAGCAGCTGTTGATGAATTAATTTTATTCGCTGTTGATGAGCTTAAAATTCACATGATAAAAAATTGATTCAAACTATTCATATTCTCTTCAGTCTTACCAGGCGAAGATGTCAGAATTTTGGCATAATTAAAATAAAAGGCAGCAGCACAACCTGCACCAACACTTGTACATTGCTTGAAACAGAACAGAATCAATCATTTATAATTTTATGGTCGAATAGAAAACCTACGATAGCTGTCTGTTGAACAGAATGATAAGTATTGTCGAACATATTCGTGTAAATCTTCGACAGAACATTCATATCTGTCAAATATTGATTATCATGTATTGATATCAGCTAATGAAAAATTTGAATCTTACTATTAAGATAATCAATCACTTCTCGAACTTCATCATCGGTTAATTGAGCCGCACGTACGCGCAAATCAAAGGTGAGATATGGAACAGATTTAATAAGATGACACGAAAAATGTTGAATAGCATCGTTGATGAAAATAAAGACATCACGTAGTACACCACGCTAGTTAAATGATTATGAAAGATAAAATTTACAATGTTCTATGATTTACTTTAGTGATCTTGCGTCCTACGGCTTGCATCATTTGATAATTATCATGATCATTCATGTGGCCGGTACAAATAAAGATGATCTGTTCTAATTCTTCGATTGAATTGAGATCGTCAATGACATCATCGACGACATAACCATGAGCTTCCAATTTTTCTTTGAGATCTCTAAACTGAAATGAGCAAACTCAAAATTTAATAGTTGCTAGTGTTACTTGATCAGTGCTATAATCAATTGCTCATTATTCGTTTTCTTGAAAAAGAAGAACACTACATGATTATTTTTTTGAGATTGAAGGATCATTGAAGTAATCTGAATATGGAAAAAATAATCGACATCCGTCGACTTGAATTACTTGACTCACAGAAAGTTCAGCCACGTACATATCAGAGCTGTCATACCATTGATCGATATCTTCTTTGATCAAACTCGATAATGATTTAGCATCTGCATCTAAATTGATAAGAAAACATTCATTTTACTTTTCAGATTAGAGAGAAAATTTAATACACGTACAATCAGCTTGGTTGTATTTATCATCTTGATCAACCTGGGTAGTCTCTTTCCTCTCTTCGTCATCAATTTGGATCAATTTGATTGATTCCGTTAAATTTTCAATAGCAAGAATTCGATTGAGCATATTGCAGAAGCGCAAATATTCATCTCTCTTTTGTGCCCTACTTATTTGACCACTTTGTTCCAATTGGCCAAGAATAGACAAAATATAAGGATATTCTCCACAAAATAGATACTAGGCAGATGAGAAGTAATTATTGATATGAGATATAGTTGATCGTTGTCCTACTCGAACAAGCTTATTGTTTTTGTCGATTTCATCGATATAGTAAAATGTACGACGAAGATAGCGATTGTAGTGATGCATCGGTCTAGATCGAAGCACTTCTCTAGTAATCAAAATAAAGAATGAATATAAGAACAAACACGACATAGACACGCACGCACCCATTTATAGTGGCCAAATGTATGCTCTTCGGATTATCTGGATCAATGATTGTTCCTCGAAGGGTCGTCTCATTGTGTACAATCGAAGTGCCAGTATCTGGCGGACCAAAGTTACACGATGTAGGTGCAAGTAAATAGTAGACTGGCACTAGTCGAATTTCAGCATTTTTCTTGTCTTCCTCAAGTTTAACACTCTTAAAATATTCTTCATATGTGTCGTAGCAATCTTTGGTGGTTTTCTTCATTGTATTAACTCCTTCAAATTCAATAAATACAGTTTACTAGTCGTTAGCTTTTCAAAACTTGCCTCCTTGCCGGTCGACGGTAGCTGGTACATTTTCAATAGCAAATAAGTGACATTGTCGTGGATAACGATCAGTCGAAGAAGTTTCCACCTGGAACGTAGCTAGTGGTCGTTCGTTCATGCTAAAATTGATTTTAAATTCAATATAACAAACAAAAGTTGTTTACCTGTAATCGATTGAACAAGGTTGATACTTTTCATTCCACTGTCGTACATCATCTTGAAGCTGGATGGAAATCAGAGCTTCAAGATCAAATTTTTCCTGCCAGATGTAAAGTTTTTCAATGTTCTGTCCAAAATCACCTACACCAGTTACAAAATAAGTGACCGATGTTTGTTTGTCACTGGAAATACCATATTTTGTTTGATCAAATATAAATACAAGTGTATTCGACTGTAATTGCAAAAGTGATTCTTCCGGCATCGTTGAAGGACATGTGTCTAGGTAGATGCTTTCGATCCACGCTTCGAACACAACACGTATACTTGAGGGAAATGCTTCGCGACTTATATTTCTGTTGAAAATGAATGTGAGAAAGATATTATTTGCTAAAAGAAGAATGAAAAATTGAGGAAAATAATGATAATATTTCAAATACATCAATGCCAGACATTTCACATCAAAGATAGTCTAATGACGTGTTAAAAACTATCGGCTCCGACTACGTTTTCGCATGATACTCAGTCAGTTTCAATTGCTCGATCCGAAACATTGTTTAATTATATATCATCGATTTGGACACTCTTTTCGTATACAGCAATTAAAATTGATCAAATCTCATACGATAACTTGGTTAGAATCAGATATTGTTGAGATTTCTCGCCTTAGAAATGCACATTTTCTAATTTAGAAAATCTTTATATTATGATGACCCAAAATGTGTTCTTATTGAGTCTGTGATTAAGAGAATAAAACTCAATTGTTTCTATGAATGAATGCTTGTTTTCACGAAAGTCATAAATATTAATCAGACAGAAAAAGTTCTACTGAATACTGTCTGAAAGGCATTCGCATCTAGTTTAACCATTATAGATACATAGATAAGAGCTTTCTCGTTACATTAAGATGTTCATTATAGCTTCGTAACGTTTTCTAAGTCTAGATATTGATATTTAATGAATTTTTTAAGTATCAATTTTGATATTCTCATCATGATTTGCCTTGTGTGTTCTCATCCTAGAAACATTTTTTTTTCTTGAGTAGCCATAAAATTTCTTCAGTCTTCATTTATCCATCGAAGAAAACCACCCCTGGCAATGTTAGGCAAATTTTTTTAAAGGTTGGACTCATTTTACACGATAGCTACTAATTTTGAAGTATTTTTCTGAAAACTCTGATTGTTTGAAACTTTTGGTATGTTTCAATTTAAACCAATCTCTTTTCTTTATAAGTTTTCAGCTCAATCATTCCATTGGAAACCGATACCTATTTTAGAACAAAAGCTCTTAATACTGCAAATATGCTGTCTGTGACGTGAAATACTAGAAATTAGTGTATTCTTAGAAAAATTCGATCTTGTTTTACTTGAGCCAACTTGTCGATTGAGATAGGAATAGAAATAGTTAAAAACAAGTCCACTGCTAATGCTATTAGCATGAAGACGCAGTGGATAAGAATAATCTGGTGTCCTCTATGCAAAAATCAATTATCAATATCCAGATAAGATTCTGTTCGATACTTACCCGTTTCGGTCGCACGATCTCGTTATGTTGGTTTTCACGCAGATAGTTGAAGATTGTGTCACAATTACTATTCGAATTAGTATTGTGCGACTCAAAAAAGACGCTATTGGTATATTGGTTAATTAAAAAATCTTGTTGATTTGGCAAAATATTATTGTCGAAGCACACGAACATGAGAGTATGTCCTTCCTAGAAGAACACGCGTGCAATTGACAGTTAAAATAGACAAAAACATACTGATACGGCTTTGAAACTTTCATTAAAAACAATAACATCATCGATAATTGCACTCCATATGAATTCAATGGTCCATTTGTAGCCTGGTAGAGAATCTTATTCAAAAAGGCAATTAATCTCAAAATAAAACTTCCTTACATGGACGTCGTGTATTCTCACAATTCGGTGCATCGTCGGAAAATGTTCGAATGAGATTATCACGAAAGTCCCTAGATCCATCAAAAGGTCAATTGTTAAATGTTTATCTTGTTTCTTCTGTCGAAAGAATTATATTACCTGCACTTAGATCGAACAGCCAACGGTGCATTTGAATGGACAAGAGGAAAATCGATTAGACAGAAGTCAAAATTTTTACCATGATGAATAGTCATGCCATGATTGACGAGATCATCGTTTAATACCATAGTTTTTCTTCGAGATTAAAAACAAAAAGGAAGTAAATATCAATTAATTAAACGTCATGTACTCATACGATCAAAGTCTAAGCTGAAAGTGATATATCAGATTACTTTATACGCACATACATTTTCTCTTCTCGAAATGCAATCCAAGCTTCAATAATGTGTCATGTATTACGTATTGATGTGTTTTTAACCCACTGTATGCATTTGTGCGTACATTACTATATTTGTCCTTCGTTCTGTGTTTGCTCTTACTTGAAAATGAAGGTAATTGATAAAAAAAATTGTCGCATGTAGCCTTTGCTTTATCTCTAAAAATGCAGTATATTAATGTTGCTTCCTGACTACGCAATACTTAAAATTGGAATATTCCAAGCGTAAGTTAGCCATCGAGTATAAAAAGATAACCAACGATTGGCGTACAGAAGAAGTAAAAAAAAAACACGTAATGCGTTCTCTGATTAGAATGTTGGCATACTCAAGTAAAAAAGGAAGAAATGAAAGGTTTTTTACAAAAATGAATCATATGTACGTGTGAACAACACAGTCCTACTGATCAATGACTGATTCATTGAATGAAAACGTAGGTCGACGCGTCATTTTCGACCCAAGATTTCCACATTTTCTTTCATCTAACGTTGATGAACGAATGGCTGTGAGAGTGAATTGGGCTTAGCTTCATACAATCGCATTTTACCAGTCCACTCATGCTCATCTTCACTCATCTATTTGAGACTTTCAAGTAAAAGACCAATATTCGTTTGAACAAGATTAATTTCTCAATAGTTTGGATGTACATTAGGAAACTAAAAATCAAGTGCTTTTCAACAAGTGATACTCATGTAATTCTATTCACAAAAACTCTGTAAAAAATACTACAAAATTGAAAAAACATACCGCAGTTCAGGGTAAATTTTGATCACTTTCAGGTGTCATCATTTTTTGACTATTTCAAGAGATGTACTGACGATTAAATCAGTATTTAGAGACACCAACTGTCTTGTCCGTATTTACAATTTCACAAAGGCTTCTGAAACCATAGAAACCAGCCCCTACTACTTTTCGTTTACAAGTTTTAAAATAAAGTTTAGAATGATAAGGTTTCGTTACTACTACATTGTGAAAAAAGCATCGAATAATAGGTCTTACACAAGGGTTTATTAATCTCATATACTCTTGCACGGCTATAAAGATAATAAAATCTTGAAAGTTTTATCACTTATTCTCATAAATGCTTGAAGAGTTGAGGAAAATTTCGTGTAGGGTTTATTATTCCACACTGATTCTTGCACAGTGTACTTCAGTAGTGGAAAGAATGACGAGGTGTGCTGCATTTCAGAAAGAATTACTCTATGCTCTTTTTTTCTCTCTCACATTACCATGTTCGACAAGAATTTGGCCAATCACAATAAAATTCTGGATGTCGTTCTTTCGTCAAATAGTTTTCTCTTGACGATGGCCGACAAACAAGAGTCCAACTAGCTTCTGATGAGAACTGTTTTGCGATCGACAATTCAAAGGGATTTTTTTTCTCGATATGGAAGAATAATCCGACGAATTTCTTCAAGTAAGTTTGCCTTGCTTGACATTTTGACTTTTTTTTTCAAGAGAAGGAACATGAACACGAGATTATCTTCTCAATATACACCATATTTTGCATTCGTGTCATTGAACATATCAAGAATGGAGTGTGGCTAGTAAGATTACAGTTAACAGCAGACGATGATCAAGAACTAAATCAATTCAAATAACGAATTCATGACAACAATGCATCCGAAACTGGAGAGGCATACTGGAGAAATGTCTGACGCTCAGAAAAAATTTCCTCATTGAGATTTTCCATGCTAAATTGTATTTAATAAGGTTCTTCTATGTTTTGAATTCTAGCTGTGAGCATAATTCTCATATATGAAAGTCTAGCATTTATATTCAAATGTGACATGCTACTGTAATAAACAATGGCCTCATGAAATAGAATCAAAGGAAGAAAGAAAAGAAAAGATAAAGAATCATGTAATGATAGCACATCCCACACAGCCACAATAGTAAGACCTTTAAAAGTAACATCAAATCGTTGTGCATTTTCAATGGAAGATGCGCACATGATTTTCAACCATCATTGGTTGTAATCTGTCAAACACTGGTAAATAAGAAAACGTCATCATTTTTAAAATTCCGTCTTCATCTTCAACAAATTCAATATGTACGTCTTCCTTTTCTCCTTTGACTGTTAATTTTGAAACTTCAAATGCCTTGATTGAAAGTACTTTCTAATCAGACCAACCAATATCAGTTACCACAACAATAGTGAATTGTTGACTATCAACATATTCCACTCTACATTTGATCCAATTCTTTTGATCAATACATAAAATCCAATCACCTTGATCATAGAGAGGATATTACTTTCTTTGTATATTCACGTTTTCTGTAAAAAAAACTGATCTTCAGGCAGTACTTATAGTTAAAATGACTACTGCCACGCTCGAAACCATAGTGTGTCTTGCACCAAAAGTCAGTATAATTATCGATATGAGTACTAATGGTAGTTTCATTACTGAACCATATTTTCGGTTCATTAAACCATGTGAAATTCATCCTGAATAAGAGAGCAAAAATGATTTTCTCCATTTTGTCACTATCCAATGGTGCAATTTTCTTCTCTATAACGACTGCATCGCAGAGTTACAACTCTTAAGAACATTATATCATGGGCTTTATCAATTGAGTATATTCACCTATTGCTATCTTTTGAGAGCAAACAATACAAAAAAAACCATCTATTTTTCAATAAAGAAAATGGTTGCTTGTCCTTAAACTGTTATAGTCCGTAAAGTAATAGGTCATCCAGTGTGCCATCTCATACATATCATTTCTCTCTTTCTTTCTGTTGTATAAATCCTGCTCAGGTGTTCTCCTTTTGCTCTGCTAATAAACATCGACGTCATGATCTCTCCCTCTCTTATTTTGATATATTATCATAAGTTTTTTATATAATCATTTTGAACTGAATACAATAAATTGATTAACGAACTATTTTTCAATTGAAAAAAAATCCATCCCCAAAGGATCCAGAAAATCATTGAACACAAATGTCAATTTAATTTCTACCTTGTAAGTGATACCAACACAAACATTAATATATAGTATCATCACTGTTATATGAATGATACATATTGTACTTTTTTCCGTCTAGATTTATGTCATAGACTAAAAAAATGCTAATTATTGTCTATTTGCTCTGTTCACTGTCTTTAACATAGATATATTTACAGATCTATTTGAATAATGATGTATTTATAGATAAAAAGCAATTTTTTTGTCTCGTACGCTTTCTTTGTTTTCTTAAAAGATCTTAGTTAATTTTTGTTGAAAAACAGGAGTGATTCCATTTATGGTACAACCGATTGAATTCCATCTTTGAAACAATTTCATTTAGACATTCGTTATCATAGTTTTGAAACAATTTCATTTAGACATTCGTTATCATAGTTTTGAAGAAATTTCAATCATAATTAGATCTGAAAAATATATCAACTTTCGAAAATTGAACCTTTTGTCTAATTTCGCTGAAAAGAATTCTTCTTATTAGTGTTTATATAAAAGTAACTGTTAGTTTTATAATGAAATATGAAAGTGACAGTTGCAAAAGTCAAATATCTTCGCAATCGATATAAAAGTAATTGATGCTGATGGGAAAAGCAATGAGAGCCAACAACATAGTTCATACAAAACAATAAGTAATTTGAATGAAGCTTGTGTTGTTATCTACATAAAACTCATAAATATTACGAGCCATTTGTAGTTATTTCATTCTTAAGTTTTTTCCATCAACTCGATATAGATAGATACATGGGTACAATGAATAATCATCCAAATGTTTGTAGTATTTACAGCACTTAACATAAAAACCTGTAAAAAAAGCTATGCTAATGTTATTTAGAAATCTTATGACATTCAATAAAGACTTATAAATCAAGCTTTAAAGATTCATTTCTTTAAATTACTCGTTACACTGTTGACCATCTATCTACAGAAAAATCAGAGTTTCAATTATGATATTTTTCATTCAAAAATCTGTTTCACGTTCTTAGCAAAAAACCAAAATCAAAACAATTGACAAACATAATTCATAACACTTCTAAACAAAACAATTCGTATATGAACAAAATGTTCTTCGATCACAAAATATCCACTGCAAAAAAAAAAAATAGATGCCACACTTTTTAATTATATCTTATCTGATACCTTGCACAACAAAAAAAAACTTGAGAATCGGACAATCGACTTTTCTTCATAGAAACAAACGAAAACATACTTATAATGTTTTTAAACCTGATTCAATTTCTTTCAATGCTGAAAGAAGAATTTCTCGTTTATTAGATGTCGATGATGATTGCATATCATTATTACTAGGTGGTCCAAAATATGGTCGAACAAATTGTACTTCATCGTGCATAACAAATATTGGTGATGAAATAGTAGTAGTAGTTGATGGTGGCGAAAGATTGTCTTTTTGCAATACAAATGATGATAAAGGAGCTGTTGTTCGACCTCGACCTGTACTAATAGTTTGACGATGATCATTTGATATTGAATTACCATGACCACGTCCCACTGGAGTCAGTTGAGTATCTGTTATGGGCATGTAGGTTCGATTAGAAAATTGAAAATAGGTTTCTGATAAGGACGATTTAACAAATACAGATGGAGATTGTTTGTTTAACAACGAAATATGTTTTGCTCGTTGTGAAAAATATCTTGAATCGGATTGTTCCATTTTGATTGATGATGGTGATTCATTCATCTAAAAGAATTGGAATTTTATCACCAAATGAATAAACTGAATGAAGAGATTAGTTCAATTTCTTTTATATGAGAACCATATACACACTAAGAGAAAAAAGTCATTATCACACAAATACATATCATGTTAAACAACATTTTGAACACAACGAAAATTCCTGAGAAGAAATAAAATGACGAACAATAAATTAAAAAAAAATAAACTTTTTCTATGTTGAAAAAAGAAATGTTGCATATTTATGATCTTTTTGTGTATAATCATCATACCATTTACACCAATAAATATTCTTTGAATAATATTCAGAAAATTTTTCTTCAACATTTTGTTGCATTTCAATATATGCATGATAATCTTGTGGTTTTTTTATATGTTCTAATTTCAGACTAATTAAATTTGGCATTGAATTAAGAAGATCATCAATAAATGGTAATTTATTACGATAAACTTGCATTTTATATGTTGTAAATATAAGTGCAAAGATTTTAATATGAGAAAAATATGAAAAAAAATAATCAGTAATACGTTCATCAAATTGTCGAACTGTTACATGACGAAGTCGAGCAAATGTTGATAATATACGTGATAGTGTTTGATTACTAACAATTGAAATAATTTGCATTAAATAAAAATGATCTATTTCAAGTTCAATTAGATTTGACGTAAGAAGAAAAAGTGGTTGAGGAACATGACATCCATGTTTAACACTATCACGAATTATAAGCTTTTTTATGGTACCTAAAATAACAATAAAATTATGAACAGAAAATGAAATAGGACTTTTCGGAAAAATATTAGTTTTCACATAGTTACCCGCAAGTATGGATGAATACGATTTGCACTTAAGAGGACGCTTCCCCACCTTTTCGGATGTTAAAATCAAATGTTTTTTTTTTTCATTTTTCATTTTTCATTGCTAATATAACTTTGAGGTGTCCTTCGTCAAATGCCGTATAAATAAGAATTCTTTGTTATTAATTAGTACTTTTATTAAACCGAAATCCGGAAATTCCAAGCAGAAAAACGCACGCTATGGTTGTTCTTAGTATACAAAATTATCCTAATGATTTCTGAAGATGCTGGAAGCATGGGTCATGAATCTTTAACACCGCTGAACACGGACAGTTTTCCTCCTTTTCTTCCATTATGAGTACTTTAGTCCTATTGGGGTGCGTATTTTTTCTTCTTTAAAATATTGTCCCCACAAAATTCGGCAGCCTTTAAAAACATAGTGCTATTGAAAAAAAACATGTTTTTTGACAGTACTTCTTGTATTTTACGTCTCATGAAGTCTAGGAGCAATACTTTCGAAAGAAAAAGAAAAATACACATCCCAATTTGATTCTAGTTGTCATAAAAACATTCCAGCTCAAAAAAATGGAGGATAGAGTTTTGCGAGGGGGGGGGAGGAACTTCTGGCCATTTTTGGTCTTTCCAATCCATATCTCCCTGAAGAAAGCATCTCAAAACTTTGTGTCTATGACAACTTTTGCTCTACTTATGGAGATCTATGAGCTTTGAAAGTTTCATCATTTTTTGTCGAGTTACTTCCGAGGAAACTCGGAAAGGGAGGAGAGTTCCCCTAATCTTACTTTTCTGAATAGTAGGATTTGGTTGTAAAGAAAACTTTATTGTGTAATGCAAAATTTTGAAAGTACTAAATATTGATTAAATATCATTTTTTAGGTTTAATCATATGCGTGGATAAGAATGTCAAGATCCAGAAATTATGATTCAAGATTTTCTCATCATGGAATATGTGTTCTAGATTAAATTTTCTTTTAATAAACTCACTAAGCTGAATATCATATTGATGTAATTCATTATCTTGTGGTATAAGACTAAAATGAGGAACTTGATAATCGATTAAACGTAATTTAGTAAATTTTTCTTTAATTAATTGTAGTAATAATGAATCATAAATATTTATATTTAATGTAAGATGTTTTATATTACTCCAATAATTTTCATTGAAATTTTCTTTGTCATATTTTGAATATTGAATTTGAGTAAAAAATTTTTTTTCAAATATTTCAAAATGATTAAATCCAAATGGTAAAGAGAATATTTGTCCAATATCTTTCGATAGAACACATGCTATATTATTACATAAATTTCTATTTATTAAATGTTTTGTATCTTTAAAATATGATGTTATATTATTAAAACCATCTGAAGTCATTAGACGAATATAAAAATGAAATGTTCGTAAATCATATAAATGATCAAAAAAATCAGACGAAAATGCTTCGGATGAATGAAATGACCATTGATAATCTTGTGTATAAATAAATAAATGTTCAATATGTTCATTAATTTCAATAATTAAACGTCGTAAATAAATTGGTGGCATAAGTCCTTCATATTTAAAATGTTTTAAACCAGGAAGTGGTTCAAGAAGTGTTAAATCATTCGATATATCACGACCACGATGATCAACATCCGCATTGCATTCGATTAGATTTGGTAAATAATAAAGAAGAGGAAGTAAATCTAAAAACAAGAACCAAGATTTATTCATGGAAAGTTATAAGTGATACTTACCATGATCAAACTTTAGATGAATAGTTAAATGCGTAATTGAATAACAACCGGTCATTAAATGTTGAGCAAAAACATATGGAACTTTACCTACAAGAAACAAATATTCATATGTCGTCTTTTCTGTTTATGGGAAAGATTGTTTTCTGGAAGAAAGAATACGAGATTTTTCTGAAACAAAGAAACTTTCAAATTATTTTGATATGTTTTGGATGATTCATCATAAATAAACTTTTATAAAATGAAAAAACCTAAACTTGATTTCAAAATCTGAAATACACGAGAAAATGAATCGACAAGGATTGACACTATCTATGTCCTAATTTAAGTTTCACATCAAATTCTATTTAAAATTTATTTCTTGCCTGTAATCCTTAATTCTCTAACAGGTATATTTTGTACACAAAAAGGCATTTGTTCATTCCATCCTTTAGTTTCTTCATCGATAATTAAATTTATTTTATCAAACCATTGTAAACGATTATAATTAAGAAATTTTTGAAGAATGTCAATAATTGTATTTGGATTAATTAAATGAATGGTAAGTGAATCAAGACGTATTAATTCATATTGATTAAAATAATCAATTTGTCCATAATAATAATTACTACCGAGTTGAAATGATGTTATTATTGATTTTAAATTTGGTAAAATATCTTTACAAAAATGTTTATATGTTAAATAATTTGTGTTATTTAAATTAAATTGTGTTAAACGATAACCTGATTGTAAATAATAATAAATGATTAAACGAAAACGTTTATTTAAATTAAAAAATGTAACTAAAATTTCAATTGATGTTAAATAATCAAATATTGACATTAATAATTCTGTACTTAGATCTTCTAAACATGCTTTTATTAATAATATTTTATTTTCACTCATTTTGTTATATTTAATAAAAATATTCTTAGCAATAAACTATCTATCTAAACTAATAATATAATTTCATGGATTGGAGATAAAAAAGTGCGAAGATTCAGATTCATTATTGAGATGTCATCAGTGTATGGTATCGAACATTCTTTTTATTTTATTTGAATAAGTTCAATAAAAGACAGACAGTAAATAAATATATTACGCAGTAAAAAAAGAAAAAGAATGTGCGGCATGTGCTTTATTTTTTTTTGCTGTAAAAATCATTAGAACTATCGGAATTCAAAGATGTAAATGCGTAGAATTTTTTTTAATAGAAAAACAAAGTTCTGTGGTTTTTTATTGCTTTATAAATTATGAAATTTTGATTTTTTTTTTTTTAACAACTGAAATAGGGAATGAATTGGGTCAACATGACTGATGAATCAGCATGTGAATATGTTGATGAATCATTTTGCGGAATTTTTATTGAGAACACTTGTGAAAAAAAAAATCTAAAACAAGTAATCATATTCAAACATATCTTATCGGAGGAAATAATTTGTCAATATAAGTTTAAATCAGTTTGTTTGTTATTGTCAAAAAAAAGTTTTAAGGTTCTCATATGCATAATAAAATTAAAAGAATTTTATTTCGTATTAGATAAATACGCAGTTTGTTCTGTTTTATTTTCTGCCATTTTTAAGATAAGATATATTTAAAGGTGATGATATATGAAACTGGTCATATGCTATTTAAAATGAAATTAAAAATTAGTTTAGAATATGATTGAATTCTATGTTTGATGTAACAGCTCTCTTTGGTATATCTGTTGACTGGATTTTTTAATAGAATATTTTTTCTTTTGTCTTAAATGTGTAATACAATATGATGCCACATTTATATAAGATTGCATCAGTTGTCAGGTTCTGATTATTTAAAAAAAAATACAACATGTCATAGTGACATGCACCAGGCATATTTCACAAATAATAATAAATTTGTGATGTACATCATATCTAAAGTTTATTAGTTTGTTAATTATCATAGATGCATCAATCTTTTTTTTTTTTTGATTAAATATAATTTTTAACAATTCAATCTTTTGTCAAGTTGATATGTACTTAATGAGGACATTTTATTAAAACAATTCGTCTGATTATGAAGTTTGTTTGTGGTTTTTCACTCGGGTTTATTACTCTCATATGTTTTTCATATGATAATATTAAGAAATATGTATTTTTCTGAACTTTAAAATTCCATATTTACTCATTTATCTTATATTTTAGTCAATGTCATTGGACGCTTTTTTTTTCCTTTTTCGTTCTTTTTTACAAATATTATACAATAACAACTTTTTTTTTTACGTCGTTATTTTCTATTTCATCATCTTTTTCCCTCTGTATTTTTATTCTATGTCCTTTCAGTAAAAACCTTTACTGATCATTAGCTGAGCGCATGCTTCCCCGTCGTTCTTTTACGCACACCTCTTTTATAGGGGTGTGGTTTGTTCTGTTCTGTTTGAAGCCGGGGCATGGTCCAATGCATGTTTCTTCTTTTCTTCATACACCAACAACGCGTGATTATTAACTGACAGTGTTTATGATCATGCGTTGAATGCATGGTATGCTTGAGTTTCTCTCTCCTATTGCTTTTTATATGCACAGTTCAAGCGCACAATAATAGTTAGCAGTACTCGTATAAATATCTAAAATATAATATACAAAATCTTGATTCATGATTCAACTTGCTCCGTCGATTTCATCGCTTAGTTTTAAAACAAGTATAAAACAAAGTGAAGCTATTTCATTGCCTGAAACAAAACCTATCATACATTCACAGCAAAGTAGTTTGATTAGAATGAATCATACTGATAAAACTACGCAAGAAATAAACGCAGTAAGTTTCATGTTTATTGTACTTTGGACTTGAATTTATTTATTAAAAAAAATATAATTATAGACTTCTACAGTAAGTGTTCAAGATGCAGAATTATTATTATCATTCAGCTCAAATGCACAAAAACCAAGAAAACTTCATCCGAAATTTCGACCAGTAAATAAAAAAAAAGAATCAATTTTCTTTTTTTAATAAATCTTTTTTTTTTTTTTAATTTCAGTATTTTGGTGAAACAACTAATACTCCTCTTCTGTCATTTGATAATTTAACATTATCAAATAATTCAGAAATTATGCCTCGAAAGGGATCATTATCTTCTACATCGGATGAATCATTATCTGATATTTCATCTACACCATGTACATCTCCATGTCCATCATCAAATGATGATTGTCACTCATCTTTATCTTCCTCAAATTCAACTACAAGATTTTCTCCACCAATAACAGATACTAATAATCCAGAATATCACATTCTTTATCTAAATCTCAATGGTGCATATCTTCCTATTGCTCAAACATCATTTATAATTCAAACAACATCAAAATCAACAAATACACCAATATCAAAACCAAAAACAAATACACAATTATTAAAGTCTGATCGAAAAAAAAACTATATCTGTTCACATCCTGGTTGTAGTAAATCATATTTCAAATCATCTCATCTTAAAGCGCATGTTCGTCTACATACTGGTAATTTTTATTTTCATATTATTCTATTATTAGAATCCCCATAGCAGTTGTCCTTTGCTGTTCTTTTTTTTTTCACCATTTTTAGAGGTAGAAAAGGCGTTGACATACTTCAGTATTTTAAACCACTATCCTTACAATTTTGAGAGTAAAGATAATAATTGGTTACTATTTCTCTTAAATGACGTCAAAAGAAAAGAAAGATAGCTGTACCCATTATTTTCTCTTCAGACAGAACTACGCACTCTACAATACATTAGAGAGAAAGAAAAAAAAATCGACGTATATTACTAAGAATAGCTTTTGTTGATTTACTTATGACATCTCTTTTTTTCTATATAGGTGAAAAGCCATTTTCATGCTCGTGGCCGAATTGCGACAAAACATTTGCACGATCCGATGAATTAAGCAGACATCGAAGACGACACACAGGAGAAAAAAAACATGTTTGTCCTGTATGTCAAAAAGCGTTTATAAGAAGCGATCATTTGGCTAAACATCAAAAACGTCATACAAAAACAACATCATTATTTTAATAGAATAAACAACAACATTTAATAATACTGTATATTTTATTTGCAACTCGGGAACATTTTTTTTTTCTATATTATTGGCTAGTCAAGAAAACCAACATACAATGAACATATGTATGTCATGTACCATATAGATTAGAAAAAAAAACTAATGCTTTTTTCCGACATTTTTTGTCAATTTGTATGTATGTGATTATTGTACATGTTGTTTATTTTTCTTTTTATGAAACATAAACAGATTTTTTTTATATGACGCATATTAATTTAAAGATCAGTACCTAATTATAGAATCAATCATTTGTATAAAACACTTTCAGGTCTACAAGAGAATCTTCTTTCCTAAAATATATCAAGTTTGAAAGTGTATGATGCTTGAAAAAAACGAATGTATGATTATTTCATAAAGTAAAAGCACATCTGTGGCGAAAAATAAATTTTCTTGAACAAGGACAAATAAATCGAAGGTCGCTTATTAAAAAGAATGAAATAATAATAAGATCATTTTCAAATCAAATATTTTTATACATGTTAAGGTTACCTTCCCTGCCTTCCCCCTTTTCGGACATGAAAATCAAAATTTTTTCAATTTTTTGCTTTTCGTTGATATTTATACATACTTTGAAGTCTTCTTTATCGACTTGCAAAAAAAGAACAAACTTATTTTGACAGTATTTTGGCCTTGAAATAAAAAACGATTTTCGAGACTCCCCCTTATCTAAAAATACCTCGACTTTTTACTCCTTTTTTTTTAATATTTCGTCTTTACATTTAATCTATTTATCGCTATCTTGTTTTTAGCATATGATTTTTACCGTCACATGTCGGAACTCATGAGACATTGTTCGACTTCAATCTGAAACAGTTGATCAAATTCATTCGCAATACGATCAATATGACGAAATCAAAAACTTTCTACATCAGACTTATTTTTAGTAGTATGAGTTATTTTTTATATTTCAAACTATTCCTAATCGTCGGTTAAGGAGTTAGTATCGTCGGAATGATTTACTCTTATTTGTTAATTCTTTCGTTAGTCGTAAAAGAGAGGTATAGTTAACGAGAATTATATTATTCATGCGTGTCTATTTATGCGTATCTCACAAGCATAAAAAAAGAACGTACTCTTCGAACCTATAAAACCATTCTATTAAATGTTTAATAGTCGAAAACCAACAAAACCTTAAACAGCACGGAAAAAAGATGAATATTTAGGAGAAAATCTACATTCAATTTTGTTTTACTTTTTTCTCAAAATCAGATTTTATACAAAAAAAAAAAGGTACTGTTTCGTTCCCGTTTCTACGACACACAAAGAGGCATCAAGCTGGAACTTTTTTCATATATACTGATCACTATATAGCATGAGTATTTTTTTTACTTCAAAAACTATTGCTCTGGTCATTTTTGACAGCTTTCACAAATATTTTTTCTAGTAAAAAAAACACAGACGTTTTTTAGGATACGTCTGGTATTTTGTTTTTTTTATCGAAAGGACAAATAGAATAAGGAGATCAAAAAAGAAAAAATATATACTTCAAATAGTGTCCAGTACATGTAAAAAATTTTGAACTGAATGGAACGTAACCTCTCAGAGAAATGAGGAGCGAAAAGGGGCGTCACTTTGACAAATTGTGAATTCAATATCGCATAAAAGACAGCATTCGGGAACTTTGAATCTAGCACAATTTTTATTCTACTGTTCAAGATTTATCTACCCTGAAAGTTTCAAATTTTTCTAATGAGCTATTCTCCAGAAACACTGAAAAGAGTAGGAAGAAAGTGTCTTAAATTGTTGATAAGATTTTAATGAAAAATAAAACTCTTTTTATATAAACATTGATAACAAGAAATTGTTTTAATTTTTATTAACATATAACATTTATGAAAAAAAAACTGAATTAGATTAAAGGAGGTACATCCGGATTATCAATAAAATCTGATGAATTTTCTCGTTCTTTTGATGGATTTGTTTTAGGTTTTAATTGAGAATTTCTTTTATTTTGATTTACAATTTGAGTGTAGTCAACAGTTGATGATGGATCTTTACCAAGTTCAAGATAGGTCGATGATTTTTCAGAAGATGATGTAGAACTAAAATTTAAAAACAAAAATGTAAAATTGAATAGCAAAGCAGATATTGTATACGTTTTTTTATTTTCAATTTGGGGTTTTGTTTCAATTGGAGTATTTGATTCTTTTACTTTGAGCATTTTAATAACTAAATGTCCTGTTGTTTTAGATCGTTCAGCTGCTGAAAGTGTTGTATTCACTTCTTCGGATAAGACCAATTGTAAAATCTATGAATCAAGAAAAATAATACGTAAATATAATCTAGTAAAAAATCATACTTTTCCTTTAATAGTGGCTCGAACATAAGTAGGTTGAACATCAACATCGATAAGTGATGTATCCAAATGACGAAAAACAGCAATATCAAGAATAATATATCGATCATCATCACTTTCATACATTTTGAAATCAACTCTAAAGAATAAATAATATGATATTTTTATTTATAAATAAAAACTAAATATGATATACTTAGGTTCATTACAATTGAGTGGACGACCATCATCACCAATATATTGACGGACAGGTTTCGGTTCAGTTTTTGTTCTTTAAAAAACAAATGAATAAAATGATTCTATCTTTTTGATTTTTAAATACAAACTCTTTTGATTCACGTTCACGTTTTTTTTTCATACTTTCATGTGTTTCAATACGTGATTCTGGTGTGTATTCTGATTGTTGTTCCCAATAACTATACATATAAATAAATCAAAATTCAAGTGATTTTTTTTTGTTCTTCTATGAAGATATTTTAATACTTTTCATCAGCATCACGTTCTTGTTTAGTTCGTGCATATTCATTCACTTGATTTTTCTTTAAAAAAAAATACAATAAAATAAAGCAAAACATAAAAACTAATATTCATGACTGTTACTCGTTTTTCTGCATATTGTTGATCCAATTCTTCGATACGCTTGGAAATCTTATCGTATTTCTAAAACATATTAAAAGTAGCTAATTAAATAAATATGAAAATAGACTTTCTGAATGAGTTAAAAATACTGAAATAACAATTTTTTCACTATGAATAAGAGCTCAAACGAAAGTATATGTATTTGTACCTTTTGTATATTTTTGTAGTAAAAGTAAAAGTACAATTATTCATTAGGTGTAATTCAAGACAAATACCTTCGTACTTGTACTTAAGAACGAACATCTGTACTTGCTATTTTTACCTGTATTACGAAATAATATCTTTTTGTATATTTGAAATATCTTTCGGAATACTTCACTGTTGTCATCAACGAAAGACGTTTCAAATATTAAAACTTATTCGATTAAGTAGTTTAATCATCTACTAAATACATAGGTGAATTTAATAAAAATTGAAACTAATTTTGGACTTCTGTTTATTTTTTTTTTAAATCTAAGATTCTTTTATATAAAGCATTTTTTATATTTTCGACGTATTGTATGACGCATGAAAGATGTTCAATTTAAAAATAATTAGCCATTGGATAGATCGAATGACTTTTAAATGACTCTATAAGTTTCAGTTAAAGCATATTTTCATTCTAAACATTTAAAATTTCTTTAAATTATTATTCACATATTAAAATATATTTTATAAATTCCATTTATTTTAAGTTCAATATTGTTAGAACGAATTAATAGTTTTAACCCAAACTTTTAGAGAAGTCTAAGATATATATAGAAAATCTTTCATCAACATTCTATATTAAAATCGTTCTAGTCAATATGTAAGAAATCCTATCGATTATTCAAAAATACAACGAAGCCATAATCTGTCCTAGCTTCTAGAGCATGGATCCGAATTCATGTAGATTCTTTTTACAATGGAGATATGTGTTGATAAGTGAAAAGATGGCACATATTCGGATCAAATGAAAGCTCTCATCGCTAAACTAACAAGGCTAAAATATTAGCGGTCCTTGGCTTGTCTAGAGGGAGATATTCGATTTTTACTGTATTTATAGTATATGTAGGATGTCCATAATTGAAAATTTCAGTGGAATTTATTTTTCTTTTTTCATGATGGTTGGATAGCGTTCATGGAGTTGCATTAAAAAAACTACTGTTTCAAATTTTAAAAAGAGATTTTAAAAAATCTTAAACGAAGAGTCCAACTTACTGTTATTTTCAGATATAAGGAAAAATAGATCCAAAATTCCGATCCTACGCAAAATTTATTTTTAAATCTCTTTTTAAAATTTGAAACAGTAGTTTTTCTAATGCAACTCGATGAGCTCTATCCAATCATCATGAAAAAAGAAAAATAAATTCCACTGAAATCTTCAATTATAGACATCCTACATATACTATAAATACAGTAAAAATCGAATATCTCCCTCTAGACAAGCCAAGGACCGCTAATATTTTAGCCTTGTTAGTTTAGCGATGAGAGCTTTCATTAGACCCGAATATGTGCTATCTTTTCATTTATCAACACACATATCTCCATTGTTACTGTCATCGAATCATATGATGTCACGATAGTCTTGAAAAACATATTAAAGATAGTCAACTTTAAAGACGATGTTTATTATATCGATACATCCAGTAGAAAATACTAAATACTTTTTCCGTATTTAAGTACAGATACAAAAGTAGTTTTTTCCTACTCAAGTACCAATACATTTTTTAGAGTACAAGTAAAATACTTTTTACTTGCTGTACTTGGAGTTCTCCTACCTCTGTTATACATCGAGATTTAAACACGTATTAAATGACAATACTGAGAAATAGAGTTCGACAGTTCCAAAAAACTGGAGCTGAAATCGGAATCGTTAAATCATTAGATAGATACAAAAATTCTTTGATCTATGTTGAAAAATCTTTATTTTTTCATTCCTGAGATTAAAGTTTTCAGTATATATCAATATTGTTTTGTTTAAGTACTGAAATATGTGGTGTCTTTTCTCATTTTTAGTAATTACAACAGCAGTTCTGGGTTCTTTTTGAAACCACCGAACTCTACTAAGAAATAGCGTAGTCATGGCATTCATTTGATTCTTCTTAGGAGGAAAAAAGAGTTAAAGGAGAAAGTCTCCATAAGCTACAAAGATACCATTCGTTCACCTATTTTTCTTCAGAAAAGTAGATTCTCAGCTGAAACTTTCTATACTCTCGTTATCAATCATGAACGCTTTTTCCTTCATCGCTTTTTTCCGTGTCAGAAAATTCGTAAAGAAATTTCTGACATCCCTGCAGCATACGAAAAATGTCTATATCCATAGTTTTCAAAGTGATGGTCTTTCTAATAGTTATATGGCATTTTGTCTATTGCTCATCATTATTTTTGTTCATATATATTTTGGTATGGATGTGAGTATTCTTCGTCCACATCCTCCATTATTCAATGAAGAATAAGAAAATGAACCGATTTCAAACTTTAATCCTTCATCTAGCAAATTGACCATGCACCACCTACGGTATCCTAGGTAAGTGTCGTAAGCATCATATCTGAAAAAGTACGTTATATTAATGTTTTATGGAAACTATTGACTACTTTCTAGAAACATGTTCAATAAAAGAACTGTTGTCCAGATATTGTGTTGGATTTCGTACATCATATTCTTCAGTGTCAATTGAATGAATTTTAGATATGTTAACGATTAAACCATACTTATGATGTTTGTCTTATTTTCTGTCTTGTCAATATATATTACTCTTCAAAATATGCTCTGATTTAGTTTCTCTTTGAGAGAAAACAATTGGTTTTCTTTCAAAACTTTTAAATAGAACTTCGCTTTTACATAAGCAATTTGCTCCACGGACCTATTAAACATGTTACTTCTCCCCTCTTTCGTTCCTAATCGTATATGAAAGAGATATTTATCTACTTTTTGATAGACTTTTGTTCTCAAATACTAATGATATATTACTTCTCTGAGTATTTAGATCTACAATAAACACTTAACCATTAATTCATAAAGAAAGAACTATGTATTTTCTCTCGTTCTATGACATAAACTGTCAATAACTCTTCGAATTTTGATCGTGTCTACGATTAAAATTTCAGTATTAGCTTACTTGTAATGCTAAAATTCGTTCAGTTTTTGTAATTTCATTTCCATCTAATCTCTACAAATCAAAATATCAATGACATATCACTTTAATTGTAAGACAAACAAACTTGTAATTGTGGCAATGTAGCAATAACATAATCACGATAACCTTCATGATCAACACATGGATTACCAGTTAAATATCTAGATTATATTATAAATAATTTTTTCGACAATATCAAATAACTTACAAATCTGCAAGATGAATATTATCACGAAGATTTTCAACACTTGATAATATACCAATAAAATTTAATGTTAAATCAAGTTTATTTAATGATTCACATCCTAAAAATTTTTGCAATAGATAAATAAAAGTTTTAATAAAAATTTTTATTTTTTTTTTATGTTTACCAGAAAGATTTTCAATATATTCAATATTATTCAGTGCTAAATTGAGATATTCTAATTTTTTTAATCGACCAACATTTTCTTTTAAGAATAAAAATGAATATAAAACAAAAATAAAATCAAAAAATGAAAATCCTACCGATTTTTGAAATAAGATTGCTTTGTAAATAAAGTATTCGTAATTCTCGACACCATTTATCCAAATATTCAATTCTATAAATAATCAAAATTATTATCATTAATAAAAAATAAAAACAAATCTTACTTTTCAATATCTTGTTGATGAAGTGATACTTCTTCAAGTGTTGACAATTGTCCTTCATTATGTTCAGCTCGTTTACGAATTAAACTTTCGGTAACTAAAAATATCTAAACTACAGCAACAATTGATATTTATCAAATTTTTACATACTAAAAACCATAGTTAAATAGCTAGTTTATTTATTTTTTATTAATTTAACCACGTGTATATAAGAAATAAATTTTAATAAAAATCAACATCACTTAGCAGTGGCCTCTACTCTCAGTAAATTAAAGACTAGATGTCGCAAACAAACGTTGATACGCTTGAATGATTACATACATCGGTTTCTCTCATTTATTTAAGACCATCTAGTCAACATAAGCAAGTCCGTTTTGATACGCCTGTGATTGAATAATTATTTTTTTATTATTTAAGATTGATCGAGACATAAAGAATTCAGCAATTCAATATAGATGTCTTTATCGATTGAATTTATGGCTTTACATATATTCCGATTGAATTAGCTAATAGTTGTATTCAGTACTCCATGAAGCAAGCTATTTAATTTTTAATGAGTGCCTATGGTAATCAAACGTGGTTGAATTTTTATTCCTCTTTATTAAGAAGGTCAAAATGATACTTTCAACAAATATCATCAATGTTCTACCTAACACAAGAAGCAAGGCTGTTATCTATAGCCTCCGAAAATCGGTTCTAATATTCACTATCAATTTTGGTAGTACGGGTTCACACTTTTTTTCTATAAAGACTTTTTTTTTTGTTAATATTAATAAATGATTTGTATCGATCAATGAACATTGTTTTCTTCATAATCACGTTTGAAATAAAATTTACTTTAAAATCACATGTTTTTATCAAGTTCATATTAAATACTTTATGAATATTTATGTTACAATTCATTATAATATCATACTTGATTAAATTTCAAGTAGTCTTTTTATTGATTAATTTAAAATGAAGAATTTCTTTTTTATGATTTGCAGCAAAAAAATATTCAGGCACATTCAATGTTATTATGCGACATATGATAGTCAAACAAGAATTGAAGTAAATATTTATTTACTCAAGATTTTGAGAAGAAATATAGTCAATACATAATAGGTATTTTAGCATAGACCCACAATGATGAAACAGAATAAATCGAAAAAAGAACATATTGTTTGTTTCAAAATATAGTATGCTCTTTTACTTTTTGGATAATTCAATGATGAAACGAGCTAAGACCTGCTATTTTTCGTCAATCGATTGATAACTTCGAGAAACAACGTTCCATTATAAAATAGTTTTTATTGACTAAAAGACATTTTTATTTTTTCATCTTATAAAATAGGGAATAATACATATTTTTTTCTTCGACATTTTTTATTATATTATACATTGAAAAAAGCAAATTTCTAACAAGTGAATAACTAACATGCTTACGAAATGGATCATATGTATGTATGTTTGTATGTATACAGTAGATGTCCGAAGTCTCGCTATTAGTAGAAAGTACCTAAATTTGAATCTTTTTGCCTAATATTATTACTACAAATAGAGCTCGGTAAATCCTGATCGCAAGCACTAATATAAGGTTGATCGGCGTTAATGCAGCGCGTCCAGAATAAAAGTACTGTGTTTTTAGGATCTCAAAAAAGCTTTTTTAAACAGTTTTCTAGTTCACCATGGTTTTGAAATGTTACAGTCTATTATTTTATTTACAAACAAGACTTCATATGTCTTTATTGTGTCACAGATAAAAGATTCTAATCTGCTGTAATCCATAGGCATAGCAATGTTTCCATTGTTTGGGATAGTCTTCGCATAGATCTCCGCTACACGAATGGCTATAATCATGAAATTTTCAGGAAATACTTGATTAGAGCAGACAACTCACTGAAGAAAATTTCAAGATAAATAATTGAAAATAGTCGAAATTACAAGTTTCATTTTTGACAAATTCCATCAACTTTTATGTTACAAGTAACTAAAGAGAACTTCATAAAGCAAGCAAACTACAATCGTTTGACATGACACTTTTATCGTGTCTGCATAAAAAAATTTATGTTGACCTTCTAGCTCCTTCGCTTGAAGCCTGATCAAGTCTTGATTGCTGCTTTCAATCGGTATTCATCGCGCTCTATTTGTCACTAAAATATTAAACCAATGAATTCGCGTTTACATACTTTTTAGCTGATAGCGGAACTTTTGACAACTACTATATGTATACACTATAATGTATTCGTAGGTAACACACCTATATTATAAAACCTGTCAAGTTGGAAATATGTAAAGTAAAAATAATTGCTTATGATAATCAAAAAAGCATTTCAAAATACTTTAATTATACATTTGGATTAACAAGTGATATTTAAGAGAAAAAAAAATCATAGAAACTTTGTTAAAAATTATGGATTAACACATTTTACAGAGTATCAATTTATTATTAATACAAAGAACATCATAATTATGTATTAATTGCCATTTAACAATTATTTATGAAATATAATAATCAAATAAATTCTTTCTATAAATAAAAATCATTGATTTATTCATATTTAACACTAAAAGAACTTTATTTATTCAAACTCTAAGAATGAATGAAGTAAACAAAATTTATATCAAATAATTCTTTTTTGTACATTGACTTTGTATAACCCTATAAAAGACTGTTTCATATTCATTATGAATTCACTGTTTCATTATCAGATATTATAACATCATGTCGAACAACTTAATTAATTCTATTAAAGAAAGATCATCGTAATCCTAAGAAAATCTTGATTAAATTGGAGCATATATCTAAATATGATATCTATAATGAAAAATACCGATAATAGACAATATTTCAATGGTAAACAGACGTTTTTTTAGACTTTTATTAATAAACATTTATTTTATCGTTTAAACTTTATCCAATTTAAAGAAAAATAGTGATAGATGGTGCTCATTATTCTATAAAAATGTTACTAATCGTATAATAGATTACAATAGTTTTAAATGAAAAAGAAATGTTTCCAATTGAAGAAGATAATCAGATCTTTACGTATCAACTCTTAAAGATGACGGTGCGTTTTTCTTTTGATACACTTTTGTTGGGATGATTCTAGGCTACATATTAAAAAAAAATATTTTAGTTCTAATTAAGAATCATCTAGAAAGCAATATACACTATACAAGATCAGATGATCTCACTTATCCTCTCACCGTAATTTGAAGCTAGATATAAACTTTTACTTTTAAACATGTTGGCAAATATCTTTCAAACGTCTTTATTCATTCAATATTATATTTTTTTGATGAAGGAATCTCAAGGCAAAAATACGATTCATTTACTGATGACTCTTTCAGAGTCTTCAGTTTTCCATGTACATATAACCAAGAAAAAACCGATCAACACCACACATCATACACACTAATCATGGAATATATAACAAAATTCTATAAAATTAAATAAAATATAACCGATTATTTTTAGTTTGATCTTCGTTGGTTTCCAGGTTCACATTCAAACTGTTCTGTTAATGGATACCAAACGTATATGAAAGTTTCTTTTGAATAGAAGGGAATCAATCATCATCAAGAATAGCTTTCTGTAATCCATTTAAATAATATTCATATGTACTATTAATAATTCCCCATGATACAAGACTTCGAACAAAATTCCATTTTGCTCCAATATAAAATTCTTTTATTGAATGTCCTCTTTGTTCATAAACTGAACGAAATATTTGTAGTAGTCGATCATGACGACCACCGAGTTCTGACTGTTGAATATTTTTTAATACATTGATTGGATAAGTTAATGTTGATAAAAGAGCACCTAATAAACCACCACTTAAAAAATCATAAATTGAATGTTCAAAATCCGTTGAAGCTAATGGCAATAAACCTTTTATAGGTTTTCGACATGCAAAAAATATCATATTTGATATACTATTACGTATTAAAATCAATGTTACACCACGATAATATTCAATAATACCATAATGTTTATACATCAACATAAAAGCATGTAAACCATTACGAATACTAGTGTTATATTTTGGTGTTTGAAGTAAAACTTGTGTCCGTTCTAGTGGTGTTAAAATAGCTTCTGTACCACCAGCTAATGCTGAAGCAATCGGTTGATGAAACCAATGATCTTTTTTTGAAAATGATTGTAATATATGTAAATAATGCGCATTAGCACCAAACATAATACTTAAAGAAAATGTTTTTTGTAATAATGGTAATGCCATACCACGATATAGAATAAGAAAGCCTTCATTTTTTAATTGTTGATATGCACCAAGGGTATTAAGACGGTAAAGTTGTTGTCGAAAAATTAATTTATTAACTGGATAAGTTAATAAAATATTTGTTGCTGATGAAAGAAAACCGGCGGCATATTCAGGTGAACGTTGTTTTAATCTATATGAGATTCCTTGTTGTCTTGAAGTCATAGGAACAAAAGACACGTTTTGCTCCTGTTCATAACTCATAATAGTAAAAAACAACCATCTAGAAGAAGATATAAGAGATATTTATTTTGTCGAAATTGAATTACAGAGAAAAGGAGAACAAAAAACACACACACACCCACACAATGATATTTGTATATACATAAAAAAAAAACACATGATTAGATCAACGATAAGATAGACTAGCATTCACTTGTTGTTCCTGGAAGACGATTATGTTGATAAATTGGGATTGATGATCTATTCAATTACAAGACAAAAAAAAAAGAAAGAATTGATTTCTGTGTTCAATTAAAATTCATTCTACATACTGAATTGTTTGTAATGTCATTGGTGTTAAACATTTAACTTGTTCAACAGGTATTTCATCTGTTGTCGTATGACATAAATATTTATTAAGACAAGCAAATATTTGTTGATTAAGTATTTGAAATTTTCTTATACGTTCTGTAAATGTTGGTAAAGACTTAATATCACAAGAAGAAGAAGAAAAAAAAACGAAAACATGAAAATTTTTAAAATGAAAAATTTTTCATTCTTACCACATTTTTAACTTCATCCTCTTTTTGATCACTACGATTTATTTTAAATAAATGATATGTAAAATCATATGTTTCAAATTTTCTATGTTCATTTAATAAACGTATTATTGTACAACCAGCAAAATTTAAACCTTCACCATATAATTGTTCAACATTCATATCATTTTCATGAC